CTGTTTCAGTGGACCACAACAAGAAAGAGTGAGCAAATGTGTGTAGAAGACTGTGCATGATATTTTTAGGGGACAGACATGAAAGTGGCATGCATTACTCCCACTCATGGTCCACCGGCCAGAACTCAGTCACAAGTCTTGACCTAACAAGGGATGCTGGGAAATGTAGTTCCAGGAGAAAGGAAGGGGGGTTGATGAACCTGTAGTATCCTCTCTGCCACAGGGTCCCTTTGATGTTGGAAATAAGAAAAGCAAATACTGTGAACTTTCTGGAACATACTGAGTGTTATCTGAATAGCAGCCATTAGCAGCATTTTTTTGTTTTGTTTTTGTTTTTTCTTACTATTTGCCAACTTTTCCAAATGTTTAAGTCTGTGCAGACAAAGGCTGAGATAAAAAAGGTGATGGAGGGAACAAACCGACTAAGAGCGGAACAACTGTTGTGGACAGAATGGAAGTACAGGTCAGGTGCAGCGTGTAGGGGTAGAGTGGGCACAGGCGGAGTGTGGGCAGGGGGCTCACAGGGAGCAGAGAGCACTGAGGAACTGAGCACAACCTCTAATTTCCTGACCAGCCCTGGCTCCCACCTGAGCCGGAAGGGGCTTAGAAAGATCTGAGTTTCCTTGGAAACCATTTCTCTGGCCCTCTCTGCACGTTATCAGCCAAGTTGGTTGTAATCAAACCCCCACGGGGCAGAGAATGAGCTCTCAAACTGCCATCCTGGGGTTCCATCCAAATGGCTTGCATTTCCTATTTAAATTGGTAATTTCCCTACACGTGTTCCCCTGCCCAAAGGAGGGAAGGGGAAGCTCTAGACGTGCACGCAGACACAGCCTAGGGCCCGTGGGAGTGCCTCCAAACTCAGGCCTCACCAACAGCCTCAGCAGGCCAGGACCCCCATCCCTGGGCCCTTCTGGCCCACAGAGGGAAACCCCGACACTAGCAGTGGAAGGGAAGGGCCTACATGGGCCACACAGGTGGTTTCCAGAAGGGTGGGCACCATTATCCAGACTGAATTTGGGGGGCACTGACTGCTTTACCTTTTGCAGGTATACACTTTCCAAGGGAAAGGGACAGGGGCTGGGCCGAGGCAACAGGTAATGTTCAAACTCTCAGAGCCAACAGCTGGGGACATGCCAGAGTGTTAGGCAGAGAGAGTCCAGAAGGCTGGGAGGCCCCTCACCACCACCCCTTTGGTCACAAGCTAGCCCGGTTCCCAGTGGGACTACAGGAAGTAAGACTGGACTCCTGTCCCCTTTTCTTTCAAAATGAGCTGAAGGTCCATCCCAGACAAGGACCTTCACAAACGCATGGTTAGATAGCCATATACATATATGTTCACATGCAGTCATACATATTGGAGAGCTCTGTACATGTACATAGACACATACCTGTGTACCTGAATATCATGCATATCTGACCCCCTCACTGACACATCAGGCATGTTCACATTCACGGTGGACACAGAGCCACCCAGCGCACAGGGCCCAGCCACACATGACGACCTCGGTGAACATTCATGCATTACAGCATGATCACGGTACTCAGACACACACCTATGAGACTGAGGAAGAGGGAGAACCGGTCAGGAGATGGACTCTGCTTTGCATGTGGCTAAACTGGGGACAGTTTGGGTTCTAAAATACTAGCTGGATCCAGGGAGAGGTGGTGAATTGAGTCTAATCCACACTGCGCCTGAGAGTCTAATCATGAGGGCAAAGGTGGGTACAGAGCATCTGGGTGGGGTTAGGTGGAGCCTCTCTGGGAGAAGCAGATTCCCAGACCGCAGTGGGCCAGGCACCAGGAACAGCCACTGGGGAGGCCTTCCTTCCAGAGGTGAAGCTGGCTGTCAGGGCCTTGTCTCGGTGGAGAAGAGATCAAAACTAGGAACCAGACATCGGCGTGGAGCGACTCCAGGGGAGTGACTGGCCCTATGGGGTCTGGGTGTCTGGGGTCCCCCAGCTCTCAGATCCTGTGTTCAGGGAAGCACAACTGGTACCAGGTCCACCCAATGCCATGCTGGGCTCCCTTCTCAGAGCTGGGTCAGGGAGAGCTCAGGGAAATGGCAGGCAGGGCCTGCAGGCTCTACCGGTATCCCCACCCCCACTTACCCACCCAGCCCCCCAGCTCCCACTGCTCCTGGGGAAAGACAGACCCCCAACTTCTGAGCCAGTCAGACCCTGGAATTTGCTGCCATGAAGGCCCTGGAACACTGCCCTCCACCTCAAAGCCTGCCCTCAGGGCCCTACCACACCCCAGCTGTGAGGGTCTTGGTCACACATGCTCCCCAGTCTCTCCTCCCGGGAGCTGCGCCCCACCACTGAGAGGGCTGGGGAGCAGGTGTTGGATTCTGGTGCCCAGAACAGCTGTCCCAACATTTCTCCCCCAGCCTCAGCCCTGAGAAGAGTTCCTCAGAGCTTCACAGTCTGCCTGCACCCTTCTAAACAGACAGGTGTGCAAGAAGAAATGAGAACTCCAGCAGGTTGGGTGCAAGCAGCTGTCTGCAGCTGCGCCTCTCCGCATCTTCTGGCAACCTGCCCTGGGGAGGACAGAAAGCCTGCGTGAAATTTCTGAGCACTGGAGTTTCCCTACCACACACATGTACACAGTCTCTCTCCCTGTCTCCCTCTGCTTCTGCATATGCTACTCTCTCTACCTGGAATAGCTTTCCACCTCCTTGTGTCCTGGAAAACTCTTATACAGGAGCTAGGCTGAGTCATGACTCAGGGACGGTTGTAAGGGAAAAATGAGAACATGCTCTCCACATAGTAGGCTCTCAAGTTCTTGGTTGTGATTTCTCTGAGAAAAACTCTTTTGAAAACAATTGACTTACTCCATCACAAACATCGTCCTGACAAACCCTGTCCTAGGAGCTTTACATACATTATCTCACTTGGTCTTCCAAGCATTCCCATTAGAAAGACTTGATCCTCCTGTTTTCCAGGTAACACACTCAAAGAGGTTAGTGATGCACCCAAGTGTGTGCTAAGTCTAGTCAGATCTAGGACCCAAACCCCAGTATTTCTCACTCCAAGGACTCAACGGCCACATTAAGGCTTTTTTCTAAAGTAATAAAGAACTTTTTTTTAATGAAACATGACTTTGATGGGAACCCTAATTTATAAAATTAAATTAAAAGCAGAGCTTCTGTTGAGGCAGGGACAGGGGGAGAAGCAAGCCCTGCTCACATTCCTCCTTGCCCCCACTTACCCACCCAGCCCCCCACCTTCCCCTACTTCCTGTAGCTCCAAGGAACCAGGTCCAAACCACTGCACCCCACTCCCTTCTGTCCAAGCACCACAGCCAAGAACCTTGCACAAATGTCAGACCTACCAATGGGCCTGACATCAGAAGAAGGAATCCTGTGCTCTGTAGCTCACAGAATAAAAATGTATTCCTTCTGATCCCTAGCCAATCTCCTGATAAGCCCAGCCTGCTAAGGTGCCTGATGGTCCCTCAGATGTCTGGTTCCAGCCAGCTAGTCTTTGAACTTGAGATGTCCTAAGCACCCACTAGTTGACTTAGTAATTCGGGGAGACTTGAAAGGAGGTCCAGGCAGCAGTCAGGCAGCTATCCTCCCTTCCATAAAAGTCTGCCTGGGCTGAATGTTCTCCCTAAGAGCTCTTCTCCAGGGACAGCTACTTGAATCAGAGAGTTAGGGATCATGGGGAATTCATTTGCAGGCACAACAGGATTCTGCTGGCAGGCTGTCCTGGGGAGGGGAGGAGGATGCAGCTCACCTGTGTCTCTATCAGAAGCTGTGCCCTGGGACATTTAATAATCAGCTCTGCTTGGCTTAGCACTCTGAGCACCTGGAACTGGGTCCTTTCTCAACATCCCAGGATCTCAGAATCACGTCAGAGAGAGGCAGACTCCCCTGCCCTCTGGCTGAGGACAAACCACTGCAGTTGTGAGCTTCAGTGAGTGCCTATGGCCCCTGTGGTCCTGTGCAACCCTGTTTCCCTTCCTGAAAGGATGGGGGTGCCATGGGAGGGCTCAACTTCCTTCCTCAACAACTGCCCACATTCTCACCCCATCACAGATGGAGAAAGGGTTCCTCCTCCCACCCAAGAGCAACCCCAACATTGCGTTTCCACTACTGACACCTCCTCAAGGAGCTGCACCCAAACCTCTCCTTGACCTCTGGCGACGAACAGGCTCCCTCCCAATCCCCCCATGCTAATGGTAGCCTTCCCAGGGTAGCCCTATCTCTGCATTAGGCAGATCTGGATTCGGGTTCAGGCTATGGCACACCTGCCACGTGACCTTGAGCTAGTCATTCCCTCTCTGCATCCCAGTTACCACATCTGTAAAGTTGAAATAATAGGCTCTACCTCAGAGAAAGGATTGCTGTGAAAGGAGATGGTGACACCTGCAAAGGGCTTAACACAGTGCTTGCCCTTCCATTACTCAAGGAAAGTTACCATTATTAGAAACATTAGCTCACTATTCCATCACGCCAATGGTCTCTCTCCCTCCCCTCACTAGCAGACTTCTGCTACTTCCTAAGCACGAAAGCACCCTTAGCCCCTGTCAAACAGTACCCTGTCCTCCTGCCTCTCGCCCAGGTCACCAATGAGCCCTGCTGACCTAATTCAATGACTTCTTCCCAGCCTCCAGTTAAGGCACTTGTTACTGATGCCCGTCTATTTTTTTCCCTCAGACTCTCTCTTCCTTTGGTTTCACAGCTTGCTCTTCTGGTTCCTCCAACCTTTATGAACATCCTTTTCCTACACCCTGTCTGACTCCCTAGGATCAGTGGCTGCACATTAGAATCACCCACAGAGAATCAAATACCAATGCCCAGCCCCACTCTCCAGCGATTCTTATTCAGCTGGGCTAAGGGACACCCAGGCATTCTAAGGTTCAGCTGGGTTTGAGAACCATAGCCCTGGATGAAGAATATGCATTTGGCCTTTCTATTTAAGATTATTTTCAGCTTGCAGAAAAAGAAGCAAACTAACAGTAGCTTAGATAAGACAGAAGCTCATGTCTCTTACAGGTATGGACTCGACAGGTCCGAGTGAGTTTGGCGGTTCTGCAGTCAGGGCCTCAAACTCCTGCCTCATGGTAAAAACAGCTGCTAAATCTTCACATCCTCATTCCAGCTAGCATGAAGGAGAAAGGAGCAAAGAGAGGTAAAGGCAACAGGGGCTACATTACCCCCCACCCCCGCCCCCTGCTAACCACACTCCTCACTGGCCACACCAGCCTCTCAGCAGGTCAGGAACCGTGGCTCCTCAAAAACCAACCAACCCCAGTGACCCAGTGCCTTGCCAGTGGGTTTCAGCCCCCAGCAAGTTCACTATGGATTCACTGTGACCAAAGAAAATGACAGTAAATGTTCTTGGGGTGAAAGGGTTATATCCAACTTATTTCTACAGTGGCAGGTCAATCACTAAAATCCCATTCACTCAGAGCGACTCTGCATGCAGCAAGCCAGTCTCTGCCTCTGGGCTTCTCTGCCTGCACAGTTGTCCCACACAGCCATTCTCTGGGCCTCTGTCCTCAGCGCTGCCACCACTCCAGCCTCTGCTCTCCTGCAGCCTTGCAGCCATGCCACCGTGTCGCCCAGAGTACTGGGTGGAGCTCTTTATATAGAGTCAATAGCAACATATTACCCACACGTGTGTAGTGAGCTAGCCAACCAGGGGCAGGTGAGAATCCTGGCCACAGGACCTTTCATTTTATCCACACCCAGGAATCTTCCTCCCCCCTTTGCCTCAGGGAAAGTCTTTCTTCTCCTTCATTCTTTTTATTAGGACTTATGATTATAGGGTGGGAGGAGAGATGCAGTGCTGGTCAGTCAAAAGTCTGGTCAAAAATTTCCCAAGCTTACACTGATCCTGGACCCCAGCAGAGATGATCCTAGACCCTATCACAAGCTGCTAGAGGTTGAACATTCCATGCCTTTGCTATTCAAAGTGTGGACGAACACCATCAGCATCACCTGGGAGCTTGTTAGAAATGCAGAATCCCAGGCCCTGCTTGCGATATACCCATTCAGAATCTACATTAATACCATTAAAAAGCATCTCAGTGTTTCTTTCATACAGGTAGAGACACAGCACCATTTGAGCCTCCAGATTTTCTCTCATCTTCCTTCAGGATAGAAATACTTTGACACTAATGGAAGGGCGGTTTCCCTGCATTTTCCCCTTGCTTTCCTCTTGCCTTCCCAGGAACCCTACATCCACAAGGTGACCACTGGTATCCTCAGCAGGACTTTAAGCTTGGTCTTCTCAGTCATAACGTGGACTATTCACAATTCCCTCCAGCAGTTCTGCGTGGCAATAGACACAGCTGGTGTGGAATCCTTTTGGATGACATGTTGCAAGTTTATTGGGAGGATTGGAAAGGAAGCATGTAAAACACCTAGAAAAATACCTGAAACATGGAAGATAACCAGTAAGTGGTAGCTATTATTACCAGCTGTGTGACCTTGACCATCGCTGAGCATAGCAGAGCCTCAGTTTTATCACCAGCACCTGACACCCAGTGCCCACACAGAATAGGCTGTATGGTGTGAGTTCAGTCTAATTCTCAGCTCAGTGGAAGGAGAGGTGATCATATCCAGGATCAGCCAATGAAGAGAGGAGTGTATAGACAAGGATATGACCCAGATGTAAGAAGAGGTAGACCCAGGACATGTTTGAGGGCTAAGGAGGAGAGACCAGCTCGGCAGGAACAAGAGACATGCAGAGGAGAAATGGATGATACAGACAGAAGGATGATGGTGGCCAGTGGTGGACCTTGAAGGTGAAAGAGAGCTACTGAAGGCTTTAGATCAGGAAGTAGAAGAGTGGCACAAAGTGCAGAAAGAGACTCATCTAGGGCAGGCTGTAGTTGTAAAAGTGGGGAATGGATTTGAGAGATATTGCTGGGGTGGAATGCGTAGGATTTGTTGACCAACAGGATGTCAGAAGGAGGAAGATGGAGGATCAGTCTGGCAACAACGATGGCGACATTAGTGACAGACAAGGCAGCTGAGAGATGGAGTGTTTCCAAGGGGAAAGCATCAGTTTTTGTTTTAGAACTCCACCCCTTCATCAGTCACCATGCCAGACACTGCATGGGGTTCTGAGGGTGTCAGGGTGTGGCAAACGTGCCCTCGTGGGGGGTACAGCCTGGTGATAGGAAGCCACTGAGGTGCCTCTGGGACATCCACAGGACATGTCTAGGAAGCAATTCAGGGAAGAGACAGGGCTAAAGAAGGTTTTGGTGTCATTCTCCCAACTGCCCTGGACATAAGTTTCAGGAAGTGTCAAGATCTAGAGAAGTCACCAGGAGCTTTTGTTAAGGCCCAGACTTCAACCATGCATTTCTTACAATACCCAGCCAATGCCAACACCACATCTACTTTCCTTCTGCCCCAAGGTGAGCGTGGCAGAGGCGGCTCCTTTGGAGGTGGGTAGCAGGCCCACCGGACAGGGACTCTGGCCTCTTGATTACCTGCTGGTGGGGAGTCCCATGATTGCAATCATCTGATTAGGGATTCGTGCTCTCAACAGAGCATAACACAAGCCAGAGAATCTGGGCCAGGTAGAGCAGCATTAGCTCTATTGTGATGACAGTGGGGTTTTATTCATCACTGCCCCACCTTCACCCTCAAACTTCCCTCTCTCCACTGTACATCCTGTTCCCTGCACCTCTCCAGAATTCCCGACATGCTAACTGGTCTCTGCTTCCTCTACCCTCCTAAACTCAGACTCTTATCTCCCTCCCTATTCCAGCTCAGATCCCTGCCTTCCAGCCCCCTGGACTCACCACACACACTCCTGGTCCCGATAAGCCAAATTAAGTCAACAAAACACAGTTAATTAAATAATAAGCATTTAGTGTAGGAATATATATAGCATTTGGAGGCAAATTGCATGAACAATACTATGGAATTACATTTTGAGGCTTTCATCATGTGGGTACAATTTGTAATGCACTGTGGCTTTTCTGTGGTCAATGGTTAGTGGGTATTTATATCTTTTTTGTAGAATTCAGAGGCTAATATAACTAGATGACATGGAAGTCTAAGGCCGTATCCCTCTTCTGACACAGGATAGTTAGAACTACTCTCTCAGCATCCATTCCTTGGTCAGAAAGCAACCCCCCAGTAGCACAGCACTCCAGTATAGAAAGGATGGTCTTTTTTGTTGCCATCTGCTCTCTGACGTGGTTTCCAGGAATACACCACAGGAGGGACTCCCTTTCCTTTAAAACCTACTCCTCCAGTGATTTTGTCAGCCTGCATCAAAAGCCTTAAAAATATACATTTTCTTTGTCTCTATAATTCCACTTCCAGAAACGTATTCTAAGGAAAAGATATATACAAGATTGTTTGGGGAGCACTGTTTAAACTAGCTACACAATAAAAACAGACAGAACCTAGATTTAACATACACATAGTGAGATGCTATGCAAGTTATTTACCTAATGTCTCTCAGCCTGAATCCACCCTTCCATATTCTGTTCCATTGCTGGTGCTGAAACTCTACACACCTCACTTTTCAGACTCCAAGACTGCTGCCTTCCCATCAGGTTCTCTCAGCAATGGGAGGTACTCGACGAAGACTGAAAGGCAGGGTGGGGAAAAGGGACGGGAGTTCCTGTTTCTTCCTTTCCTGCCAGCATCACTCCAGCTGCAGCAGTGGGCTCCAGCCTCCTCTTCCTTCCTGCCTCCAAAGCCTCCTCTGAGATAGCAGCAGCAGCTGGCAGCACCCGTTCTTCCAAGGGCTGAGCACCACAGAACCCCTGCTCTCAGCTCTGAGGTTCTAGTTTCCCCACAGCTTTTCTTTTGTTCCTCTAGCCCCAAGGGTGGCACTGCTTCCTGCAGTTATTTTCTCCAAGTTACCTCTGCATTCCCTTCTTCCTCTATCAGCTCCCCAGTGCATATGCAGCCAATTTCCTCTATTACATTTCCTCTATTTGAAATACCTTGTGTGGTGCGGATTTCCTAACTGTAGTCTGTCTAATACTGATGTCATTTCACACTCATCAGATGAAAAAATAAATTATAAAATACCAAGGCTAGTTAGGATGTAAAACAACAGGAAATTTTAAACATTGCTGATAGGACTGGAAATTTATACGGTAGTCCCCGCCTTACCTGTGGTTTAGCTTTCCACAGTTTCAGTTACCCACAGTCAACCACAGTCTGGAAGCAGATAGTCCTCTTTCTGATATATTGGCAGAAGGCCATTAGTAGCCTAACACTGTGTCACAATGCCTACGTCATTCACCTCACTCCATCTCATCACCTAGGAATTTTATCATCTCACCTCATCACAAGAAGGGTGAGTGCAGTACAAAAGATATTTTAAGAGAGAGAGAGAAAGAGACCACATTCACATAAATTTTATTACAGTATAGTGTTATAATTGTTGTCTTATTATTCATTATTATTATTAATCTGATGCCTAACTTATACATTAAACTTTATCATAGGTATGTATGTATAGGAGAATACATGATACATATGCGGCTACGTACTATCCATGGTTTCAGGCATCCATTGGCTGGTCTTGGAATGTATCCCCCACAGATAAGGCACAACTACCATATAACCATTTTAGAGAGCAATTTGGCAAGCAATATCTAGTAAAGTTGAAGACCTAGACCTTTCAACCTGAAATTCTGCAATCCTGGTCCTAGGTATGAACTCTAAAGAAAACTCTTACAGATTACACAAGAAGTTAGCATCATTCTTTTTTTGTATGATCAATAGGGAATGGGTGAGTCAATTTTGGTAAACTATAGTGGAATACTAGACAGCAGTTTAAAATGACTAAATGGAAGTTACATACCCAAACATGGATAAAACCTAAAAGCATCATTTTGAGTGAAGAAAACAACCTACAAAAGGATGTGTACAGTATGATATCATTATATATATGAAGTTTTAAAGCCTACAAAGCAATACTCTCATTAGTGGATACATTTGGATTTAGTAGTAGGAATATATTCATATGTGGGAAACGAGAAGCACTAACTCTAAAATAATGGTTACTCAGGGTGCAAAAAAAGGAAGTGAAATCAGGGAAGAGAACACAGAGGTTTTTGGTTTTATTTCTTAAGCCATGGTGATAGGTACTAAAAGATAACATAG